CACCCACAGCAAAGAGGAGAAATTTCTTCAGTCCACAGTCAGCTGGCTCCGAGGCAGGGTGGGGTGGCCGAGAAGAAACCCTTCATGGGGGACAGGAGGGAGGAAAGCACGGAGCAGGGGACAGCCAAGCCTTCTGTCCCTTATATTGTATCCTATCCAGGCCACTCAGGGCAGGTAGCACCAACGCCCTAAATCCTACCACCGCTGAGCCTAGCACTGCACCATGAATCAATCCCTGCATCACACGTTTTAGGTATTGCCACCTCTGAAAATGTCCCACCTGTGACCCCATGAGGCCTTGGGGGACAAGGAGAGACAGTCATGACACAAGCCATAACACACATCACATAAGCTCAGGGACACAGAAGTGCATGTGACACTGACTGAACAGGGCCGAGTCCCCAGAGGTGCCCTGTGTCACTGTGTCCCGAGGTGAGCCGCCCTCACAGAGCCCAGGGGCTCCACTGTCCCTTCCCACTGTGCACTCAGCCTGCTGTGTCAGCCCTTGTCCCTCTCACGGTTACTGTGGGGACATCGCCAGTTGGGCAGCGCCTCAGAGAGAGGAGGAGACCCCAGGCTGTCCACAGTCAGCCCATCGTGGAATAAGGTGAAGGTTACACTGGGGCCACTGTCTGAACTATGTCCAGGTAAGCATCACCTGAAGTGACCAACAGATGCATAAAGAATGCAAGAAAGGGGGAGGCAGGGCTTGGTGGGTCATCGGTGCCCCCATCCCTCCCCTCATGCCCCACGTGTCAGTGCCGGGTCCACCCAGCACAGCCCCGACCACTGGTCTCCCGCTCCTCTGGGCAGATGGTGCCCCGGCACTGTGCCCTGCAGTGGGGGACTGTCACACTGCTCCCTGGACCTCAGCCATGCTTAGCAGTGACGCTGCTGAGGATCAGAAAACTACTGTACACTGGGGGAGGTTCCAGCCAAAGGTCTTCTCTGCCCGGGGACCTGCTGTCACTGTCCTCAGGGTTTACTTTCTGTGCCTTACTGGGACTCCGCATCAGAAAGCGGTTTCCTTTCTGGGAGCAAAAGGAAGGACTCTCTGCTCCTT